ATGTCTGTCGAATTAATTAATTACTTCAATTATAATATACCAATAGACAGAACAATTAAAAAAAGTTCAGAATTCTAGCGAAAGTATGAAAGACGTTGGCCAATTGTTTCTGCAATTGCAAAAGATCTACTACACCTCCAATTAGCACTGTTGTTTCGGAGTCTGCTTTTAATACAGGTAAAAGGGTTTTTGACCGATATCAGGAGCCGACTGAAAGAAGATGTTTTGAAAGCGTTAATGTGCATGAAGGATTGACAGGACACTCATTTTCGACTACAGGATAAATACGCTTAAATTGCATGTCGTCAGGTAAGTGATATTTGATTTAATTATATTAATCAAATTTTCTTTATTTTTTAATCGTTAAATTTAATTTTTTTTAAAAATTGTACACGTTACAATAAGTTGTTCGTGTACAATTTTTAACTCCGCCTAGTTAAAATTGATATAGCCGGTCCGAAGCCCCGAATAAAGGAGGAGGGTTTACATTTTATCTACTTTAAAAATATATCAAAAAAATATATTTTTTATAAATGTATTTTAAAAAAATAATTCGTCTTCATTGTATAAATATTTTATACTTTATGAAAAATATTACAATATGACATAAATAAAAAAATAAAAAATTGTCTTCATTAAGTTATTTGTATTTTTTAACACTTTTTATTTTTTTTTTTAAAAATGTTTTGTATTATTTCATTTATTTATAAAACTCTTATAAAAAATAAAAATAAATAAAAAATGGACAAGCCCACGAGCCAAAGCGCAGCTTGGCCCAAGAGCTCGGACGAGCCACGAGCTCGTGGGCCGAGCCGAGCCGAGCCATTGCAACCACTAGTGTTATGTTGGGTTTTTCTTGTATTTTGTTGTCCTTCTTCTCCTTTCATTTCTTCAATAAAAAACCAACAACAAAAACTCATTTCTCCTCCGCAATATACAAAAGTAAAATGAAGAAAAAATAACAATAATAAATGCATTACAATGAGAAAAATGAAAAAACTGGGGTCAAAAGTGTAGCGACCACAAAAAATAAAATAAAATAGATTGAATATTCAAAGTACTAATCAAACACATTTGAAAACTTGGTGAAATAGTCAAGACATTTAACAACAAATTTAAATACATGAAATGAAACATCAAATTATTCTTTTAATTGTTTAATAATATGAAACAGTTTTTTTTTTTTCCAATTTATTCAAATTTTTAACATGTGTGAGATTTATACATGGAATTATATAAACACAAAAGTATACCACATAACCTATATGTTTCATTTCAATATATATATACTAAAAAAAAAAACTTTTAAAATGCCAAAAGACTTTGCATTTATTCCTCACATAAAATACATTGAAATGAAATCTAAACAATTATTCTTTTAAACGTTCAATAAAGGGTTGCCAACATTTTTTTCAAAGGCCAATTGGATTTTACATTTCATTTCTTCCAAGTCATTTGTACCCTCCATTTATACATATACATAAAATTGTTTTACCCCTTTTCCATCGTCTAGGGCACTTTAAATATGAAATTCTTCTAAAGAAGAGGCAAAGAGTACGCTAAATTTTCACATATTGAACACAAAAAGGTATTCAAACTTCAAGCATTAAGGTAGGGGTGTTCTCGACACTTGTATAAGTGGTTTAAGAATTATTTGTTTTCATTTTGCATCAAACTTATTGTTGTGTCACTCATGAAGGAGGCGCCGTTTGGTGGCTCAAATAAGAGAAAGAGATTGAAGGTGACACTACTATTGTGTTACTCATGAAGGAAGCACCGTTTGGTAGTTCAAAATAAGAGAAATAAATTGATGGTGACACGAATAATCAAAATTTGCATTTTTGAAAACATATATGTATTTTATCATTTACTCTAGAGTCTTCCTACTGAGTATTATTCGTAGTACTCACACCCACTATAATCTCACAGGTTGGTTTGAGGCATGGTGGCGGTTTGGCATAGTGGCAAGTGTTCGGCAATCTGAAAAGCTTTCAACTTTCTAGTAAAATTTTCAATTTATGTAAACGTATTATGAATAATTAAACGGCACTTTTAAAGACGTTTAAACATTTGTTTCGTTCAGTTTTATATGCTATTCATGTCAACCATAATTTGCAAACGTTGGTATGTCTATGATCGAAGTTTACTCACTGCTGATTATAATTCCAAATTCTATCTTCCATTTGAAAATGGTATAATTTGGGTTACATTGTATATTTTAGAGTGAAATCAGTCGCGTTCGAAAGTTCTACGAGTCTTCTAATAGTAGCCTTTGGAATTTCCTTAAAACATTATCTAGAGAAAAAAGTTATGTCGATTTTGGTAAACTGCGTCGTTTCAAATCCGGATTTTCTGTCCAGCATGTTCAAGCAATATTTTCATGCATCAATCGTTATCATCAAACCCCCAAATTTTTATATGTGGTACATATATGAATGCTTTAGCCCCTGTAAAAATTTCATAAATTTTAATAAACATTTGCTAGGCCAAATACATTCTTTTTCCGCTGTTGTTCACTCCGTAATTGCTGAATCGCCTCCAAATGTTTCCAAAACCAAATTTGGCCATAATTTTATAAGTTTATTTGAATAACTACTTCCTATTATATTTTTATATGTTTTCAAAACTCAAAAACTTTCTAATTTACAAATTACTTTGGTTAACATCAAAAGGGTCGAACCAAAGAAAGATCGATTATTTTTAACGCTTTGGTTACGAGAATTTGGGGTGTTACAAAACGTGATTGTAAATATATCAACAATAACTTTAAACATTTAAAGCATAAACATGTCAAAAATAAATAATCTAAAACCACCCAACTAAAAATGCATTTTACACTAGGATTTAATAATTTTTCATTGAAGATTAAAATCATGATAATAAAGGTTTTTGGTAAGCTTGAGATCATTGGATTATAAAATACTCATACTTAGATACGGAAGATGGCAACCTTAGAAGGAGCTTTTAATGGCCTAATCAAATGATTCCTTCTTTAGATCATCTCCCTTGTTCTCCTCTAGGTGTATTCCCTTTTGGGAAAACGAAATGTGGCTAACCTTAAATTTGATAGAAATATGCATAATGCTCAATTAAGGTTTTGAAATTACAAAAATTTCCTTGGACTTTATTGTAGTAGATCAATTAAGTCACACACCTTTTATTGAAGCCAAGAGAGAGACCTAACCGGACTCACATGACCCAAGCTCCAATAGATGTTTCTAAATGGGTTAACTCTTGACCAATTGTGATACATCTATTAATCCCAGCTTATTCTACTAATAAATTGGATTGCACTCTCGAGTCCAGTGATAGTTATAAAAGCAAATTATAATCCAATAACAATATCCTTTGATTATCGTTTCACAAGTCAACCCCCATTTGATCGTCAATATGTTGAAACTAGAAAAATGATTGTTTTGCCCTTCAACATGTACTACCTTCTAAATTCCATTTTCATACGACTAATTCATTATGATCAAATCACAATATAAAGTCCAACGTTCTCATCATCGGACTATTGAGCTCATATTCACTTTGCTTAGGAAACTACCTTAGAATGACGATCGTATCATCTCAATAATTAATGGATTCCATTATCACAAGTATATGATCTCTAATTATTTCGGCCTAATTCCTAAAACACTGAGATCAATCTTCTATTTAAGACTTTACTCATTGGTACCTTAAAGAGCTTGAACTAGCAATCAAAGGTACATTATTCGCTTAGGATTTAGGTGATCGTTTGATAATCAAGTAGAGTCTCATTTTGAATAGTCACAAATGAGTCATCTGCGTGGTCTCGTTCAATGTGCATCGAAACACTTTATTGTTCTTATGTCAAGATCTAGACAAATCTTAACAAGAGCAATGCAATATTATCAACATAAAGCATCCAACTTTATGTACTGATTGTTAACGACATAATTTTGATCACATCACGAATTGTGTCTTACTATAACTCGAATTATCGAGTATACAATTTGTGACATCCTATATGGTCATGGAACCTTAGATAATCGATTCAGATTATAACATGTAAATAAACGAATGCCAATTTATAATGTGATTTTACAGAACACTACTCGAAGAAAAGATCATCAAACTAACATAAGAGTCATAAATTACCTTTATCTTCTACATCTCTTAAAAGTACTCACCCTACTGCACTACATCTCACCAACCACCACCCAACCACTGCCTAAAACACTGGAGCTCATATTACAAACAGCAGCCATCAATCCCAAACACTTTCCAACAAATTGAACAAACAAAAAATTTATATGTCCAAAATCAACCAAAAAACATAGTTTATCACACGCGCAACGCGTTGCCTTTTATCGTTAATTTTGTCGCCGACACTGGTTCCCACCATCTCAAACCACTCATTCCTGCTTTGCGACACTTGCTACTGTAGTTGTGCATGTGTTGATATTTTAAAAACATGAAGAGAAGCAACCTCGTAAATATAGTCGATTGGTGTGTTAGGAATAACATGGGTCTTGTTGGGAACAAGTGGTGCTCCCAGTATTTACAAGTGGTGCTCCCAGTATTTACATTCATGATTCATGAGTTGGATATTTTGGGTAGTGCAATGCCTAAGTTTTTTGGCTTCTAAGATAGCGGGCCCCATTTGGTGGAGGAGGAGTTTGACGATGGGGAAGAAGAAGAGAGAAAGATTTTTCTTTTTTGGTTATTTTTAATATTTTAATAATTTAGTTCGACTTATTGCACTTTTTAAAAAGTTTAGGAGTAAGATTGCAATTTGTTTTTTATTTTTCTTTTATTTTCTTTTTTGTTTATTAAATAGGAGTATATTAGTCATTTTACATTAAAATTGATGAAAATGACATTTTCCGCAATGAATTATGGAAAATAGGGGTGAAAATGTCAAAAAGTAAAAGGTATGAACGTCTTGCATATAACATTGAAATGTAGGAACGTTTTGTACCCTAATGAATCCATATTAATTTTTAAATTTTAATATTTTAGAAGTCAACGAATTTTGCTAAACATCCAAAATAATACATATATTTTTTGACGGAAGAACACTCACTGTCCCTGCCTTCACACAATACATCCAAAATAAATAAATATTCTTTTGAAGCAATCCAAAATAATAATATTGCCACCCCATAGTGACTAAGAAATGAAAATCAAAAGCACGTCAAGCTAGAAACTTTATCAGCAGGCCTTGTTAGCCTTCAAAGTCAGATTTCCCCCATTGACCATACTTGTTCTTCATTTTAGCATCAAATTCCTTCCCCTTTATCTCTGCAATTTTTGCTGCATTTGCCATGGATTCCTCTTGCACTCTAGCAATTTTTTGCCTCCTCTTCTTCGCCGTCTCTTCTCTCTCCACTTCAAATCCTTCGTATTCTCTCAACCAACAACTATGCACAGCACAAGTCAGTGTCAGCACGCACAGCTGCATAACGAACATGGCCATTAAAATCCCACATTCCAATCTCACCAAAAGCTTTGCCTCTCTAGGATCTCTAGGAGATTTTAGCATCGAAAGGCTCAATTTCTCCTTGGTGAACAAAGCTAAAATGCCGAATAATTGAGCAATGGACGAGGCGACGAGAAGGGATATGTGGGTTATGTAGCAAAAGTGAGTGAGGTGGGAGTAAAAACCTATGAAAGAAGACAAAAGGGAAATGCAAGAAACCATCAAGAATGCACAAGCAAATGAAGTTGGTGGCATTTTGATGAAAATTGTTGGAGCCAAAGAGGCTGCAGAAAGAATGAAGAGAACGAAATTCAGAAATGATAGGAGAATATTTAGAAATGAACATGATTTTCTAAGCTTAGAAGCCATTTTCAATTTGTTGGTGTAAGAACGCAGGATTAATCTGGTTAATGTAGAGGAAAATTCTAAATTTATTTAGGAGGTAAATTTAGCCGTTGATACTGCAATAAAGGCAACGGCTAAATTTTAACGGGCCAACTTCTGATTTTGAATTGTTTTGGTTTCAAATTACACGTTTGTGGGTCTATATATCCAAAACTTTATGAAAAGAAAAATCCTTACTATGATTACTGGATTAATTGAACCTGCATTTACTTTTGCCCCCAATTGTAATTAGGATATAGAATTTAAATTTTAGCAGGTCATTTAACTTCAATTTTAATAGAAATCAAGATATTCCGTTTGCTACCTAATAGAACATGCTTAGTTGGCCATTAAAACCAACGAATGCTAATCGAGGTCCCTACACGTATAAACTAATGTCATTTGATTTCTAAATGTTGGGCCAACATATCAAAGACTTGCTAATAAAATATTCGTAGATCATATAAGCAAAATGGTGAAAGTATATATTGATGATATGCTCATCAAATGCTTTTGGGCTGATAATCATTTGAACACCTAGAAGACACATGTCATATTCTCTGAAAAGTAACACATGAAACTTAACCTACTTAAATGGGTAATTTGCAGAAAACGTCCTTATCTTTAAGGTTTATTGTGAAAAACGTCACCACCTTTCATTTTTTGGCATTTCTGCCCTTATTTCCACCTTTCGTTGCGGAAAACGTCATTTTCACCATTTTTTATTGTAAAATGATCAAAATACCCCCTATTTAAATAAAACCCAAAAAATAAAGAAAAAATTACAATGTTACTCCTAAATGTTTTAAAAAGTGCAAGTGAGTCCAAGTAATTATTAAAATGCTCAATAGAACAAAACTTCCTTACGTTTGGCCTATAATGTGAAAAAGTTCCTACATTTTAAACTGGTGGAATGGGCGTCTTTTGCAATGAAACGTGGAAATATGGATGAAAACGCAAAAAAAAAAAATGAAACGTAGGAACGTTTTCTATAAGAAGTGTCAAACATAAGGAATTTTTTGCTATTAGGCCTTATTAAAATATTAAAAACAATAACACACACACACACACTCTCTCTCTCTCTCTCTCTCTCTCTCTCCCCCCCCCCCCCCCCCCCCTCTCTCTTCTCTTCTTCTCCAAATGGATCAGTTACCCTAGAAGCCAAAACTCCAGCAAATCACCACCAAAACTGCTGGATCACCATACTATCGAAAAGCCCTCACTTCCCTCTACATATATCACCAAACATTCAACCTTGAAACCTTCGTGTCAATAGACTTGTTCGAAATTACAAGCCAAAATACCCAACTCGCGAATGCAAATGCTGGTGGCATCACTTTTTTCGAAGAGACCCATACCATTTCCAACACATCAATCGACCATACTCGCTAAGGTGCCTCTCTTCATGGTCTTAAAATATCAACAGATGGTTCAACGATATGGAGGTTCGGTGATTTGGGCGATGGTTAGTCAAAGTTTTCTCACTTCTAACGTGGCAGTCCTATTTGGAGAAGAAGATAAGAGAGAGAAAGAGATAGTTTTTTTGTTATTTTTAATATTTTAATAATGCCTAATAGCAAAAAACATTCATACGTTTGACACTTCTTACGAAAAATGTCCCTACGTTTTAATTTTTTTTATTTTTTTATTTCTATATACGTTTTCACCCCTATTTCTAGTTTCATTGCGAAAAAGTCCCTTTCACCAATTTGAAACGTTGAGATGTTTTTCACACTACAGACCAAACGTATGGACGTTTTATGCTTTTAGGCCTTTAATAATTATTTGGACTCACTTGCTTTTTTTAAAACATTTAGGAGAAAGATTGCAATTTATTCTCTTTTTTTTTGGGGGGATTTTATTTAAATGAGAGGGTATTTTAGTCATTTTACATTAAATAATGGTGAAAAGGACGTTTTCTGCAAAGAAAGATGGAAATAAGGGCAAAAATGTCAAAAATTAAAGGTGGGGACGTTTTCCACAATAAACCTTAAAGGTGGGGACGTTTCATGCTAATTACCCTACTTAAATGTGTGTTCGAAGTCTTGTTTGACAAATTTTTAGGTTTCATGATAAACCAATGAGGCATTAAGGTGAAATTCGATAAAATATGAGCTCTCTTTGAGATATGATCTCCAGTAAAATCCAAAGAGATCCAAATTCTCACTAGAAGGGTCCCGACCTTGTGTAGGTTCGCCTTAAGAGCCATTGATGAATGTTCTCCTTTCTTTCAAGTACTAAAAGGAAGGAAAATGTTCGAATGAACTTGAAAATGTGATCAAGCTTTCCAAGCTTTAAACTAGAATATGGGAAAAGCCCCATTTTTAGCCAAACCATTAAACGAAAAAATTGTTACTCGATCTGGCAGTATACAAAACAGCTGTGAGCTCCATTTTAGTAACCAACTTTTCACTCAATCAAGAGTTACCAAAGCCCGATACATTGGAAAGGTCGATGAAATGGGCGGTAAAGTTAGGAAAGTTTGAAATTAAATATAAGAGACGACTCGTAATTAAGGCAGAAGCATTGATAGATTTCGTTGTCGAACTTTTAGATGTCCCTTTTTCCTAAAGCTGATCCCAAACAAGAGAGAACCTGGAAGTTATTTGTTGATAGATCATCAAGAGAAAGTGGCTTTGAGGTTGGGATAATCTTAACAAGCCTGGAAGAGCAAAAATTAAACTATACACTTTGCTTCGCTTTCAAAGAAACAAACAATATAGCCGAGTACGAGCCCTTATTTGACTAGCCAAGGAAATGAGGCTCTAAGAATAGATTTGAAAAGTGATTCATTATTGGTTGTTAATCAAGTCGATGGAAAGTTTGCTACCAAAGATTAAACAATTACATCACATTTGATCGAATTATGAGCCTGATACAATATTTCGACAAGTTCAAACTCTTAACAAATTTCAAGAGAGGAGATTAGGTACGCTAATGCTCTGTATCCCCATTGGATACAGATAATGATATCCTATATGAAGGATGCCACCCTCCCTTAAATAAAGGAGAAAAAAAAGAAGAAAGATACGTGTCAAGAAACCGCATATGTATTACAAGATGGAATCTTATTCAGGCGAGGGTACACAATCGCTTTGCCTAGATGCGTAGGAAATGATGAAGCATTATATATGTATTAAGAGAAATTCATGAAGGTATATGCAGAAGTAGTGCTAGCAAATATTCTTTGGCTCAATAGACTATGAAATAGAGCTACCATTAGGCTAACTATCAGAAACGATGCCATGGAATTCGCAAGGAAAAGTCAAAATGTCAAAATTTTACAATTATATCTCATTGGTCATCACAAAGAGTTGATCACCATCACCAACCTTGGCTTCTCGAGAAGTGGGATATTGATCGTAGCAATAGATTACTATACCAAGTGGGTAGAACCTCTCATTAATATTTCCGAGACTAATAACTGCAAGTTCATTTGGCAAATCATCATTTGTCAACTTGGAGTCCCGGACTCTATTATTTCAAGTAATGGTGCACAATTCCAACGAAAAAAGCTGAAAGCTATATATAAAGAGCAAGGAATCAAGACACTTTTGTACCCTATATTATCTGGAGGCTAATGGGCAGGTGGAGGCCGTGAACAAAACTTTAAAGAGCATTTTGAAAAGGGAGCTCGATTCTGCAAGACTATGTGCTCACAAATTGCCACAAAACTTATGGTCCAAATTGGTAAGTGCCATATACTTAGTTGAAGTAATAATGTTGAGAACATATAAACTTACGGACGAAAGGGGCGAACTTCACGTACACCCTTGGGATAGTGAACATCTCCGAAAATATTGTCAATGAATTTTGATACTCAGAAAAGGTTATTTGCACCTGGACAAAAGTAACTCCTGTTTAAAAATTTACTCTACTCGTAATGATGTTTATCTATTCAAAATGATTGTTCAATAAATTGCGAAGTCCTCATTTGATAAGCTAAGAGAGATGCAAGCTTATTAACTTTGCAATGAGCATAATTTAATAACTAATTGATTGTAGTATCACACCTTAGCATGCATATTAAAATCAAATGATAACAAACCATGATAAAAGACTCAAAGTTACGATTTCATTACAAGAAAAGGAAATTACAAAAAAGGACTAAAACTCCAAGTTCGAATAAAAATTACGTGGCAATACAATGAATCTACTTAGAGGCCTAAAAATGACAATACATTTCTAGACATATCCCAACCCTTTGACGCTATCTATTTAGGATTATCCTGAATGGAAAACTTGGGGGTAGAATCTTTCTAACACACCTATTAGTTTAGACCCATGTATCATTGAACTTGGGATAGTAACAATCAAGACATCTTCATGCATTTTTGTGGTCCTCTTAGTGATTGCAATTAGCTAATCAATAAAGCCATTTGTACCCAGCCATTTACACGGTGGTTTAAACGCTGACATGGAAAGGCAGGTTAAATCAAAATTTGAAAGAACGTATGACCACAGTTTTGGGCCAGTATAAAAAAATAAGAGATGAAAAAACAACCGGGTCATTCAAATTTAAGCTAAAATAACCCTTGCATTCCTATTGCCCGCAAGAAAAAATGTCTCTCAGCTGCGCCCACATTCTACTGCACATGGGCAGATTCTCTTGAACGTCATATTCATTCCGGGTACAGTTGGAAACCGGGTTGTCCAAAATACAGGTCTATTGCTTGGGATTTCTCTCCCCTGCAATCCCACAGTACACTATGTCGCGTTCGCTCACTATGAACGGTGTTGATGAGAAACGAAAGAGAATGTTTAAGGACATGGTGGGGAGTATGATTAGTCATTCTATCTTATCAAAATCTCTCTGGGATGAAGCATTAAACACCGCAGCATATATACTCAACAGAATTCCAACTAAGGCCACTGATAAAACTCCTTATAAGCTTTAGACAGGCAAGAAGCCTAGTTTGAAGCATATACACATTTGGGGATGTCCAGTTGAGACAAGGCCCAGTAAGCCAAATAAAAAGAAACTGAATGCAAGGACTCAGTTGCTACTTTATTGG